TGTCCATGGAGATTCCTGTCTGACCTCATCTGTCAACCTGTCCATCACCATAGCAAACAAGAAGGGACTCAAAGCCGATCCCTGATGTAGCTCCACCTCCACCTTGAACTCCTCTGTCTGACCTACAGCACATCTCACTACTGTCGTACTCCTCTCATACATATCCTGAACTACTCTGACGTACTTCTCTGCCACTCCTGACATCCTCATACAGTACCATAGCTCCTCTCTCGGCACTCTGTCGTACGTTTTCTCTAACAAAGACACAATGCAGCTCCTTACGACCATCTCTATACTTCTCCATTAACATTCTCAGAGCAAAAATTGCATCAGTAGTGCTCTTTCTGGGCATGAAGCCATACTGCTGCTCACAGATATCCACTTCCTTTCTTAGCCTAGCTTCCACTACTGTTTCCCATAGCTTCATTGTGTGGCTCATCAACTTTATACCTCTGTAGTTGCTACAACTCTGCGCATCACCCTTGTTCTTAAAGATCGGCACTAGTACACTTCTTGTCCATTCCTCAGGCATCTTCTCACTCTCTAAAATCCTGTTGAACAAACTAGATAGAAACTCCACTGCTGTCTCTCCTAGACACTTCCACACCTCTACAGGTATGTCATCGAGACCAACAGCCTTTCCACTCTTCATCTGAATGAAAAACTAAATGTTTGAAAACTGTTTTTGTGAATTTACATATCCAAGAAGAAATAAAGAACTGTTTTCATTGTCATTGTTAGAGAGGGAATCAAACCAAATCCGGAGCTGGTTGTCTCCCTGCACCCCATGTAAAAATATAATCACGTTTTGCAAGGAGAATACTGCATTCTATTGGTTATACTAGTAATGTAAACTAAAAAAGTACTGGATGGTTGAATGTTTAAATTATTACCCACAAGAATGAAAACAGTAATCTGAGGCAGAAAACAACTTTCCACATGAAGCCTTCTGGTTAAACTGGAAGGTTCGAAGTAGTGCAAGTGGTGGGAAGGACCGGGTTTATAGTCTACAAGACAGAAATACACAGAGTCAGTAGAATGACTGCAAAGCCCACATCAGTAATCTTAGTCTAGATTCCAAATGTAATAGGTTACATGAAGAATGTAACGCTAACCTTTTATGAATAAATGTACTAATATGTTTAATTTGCTTGTGAATCTGGCTCGGTAATTATATGTACTTCAATCTAAGCAGAAACCAATCGACCTCTGTCACAGGAGGATGTTACCTACAACCATATAAGTACTGCCTTTATACATCCAGCTGTTGACTGAAGGACTGTCACCTGAACTGCTGCGGATTCTTCTGACTTTAATCACGACTATCTTCATAATTTCCTCATAAATTCAACCAGAGATCAACTAGACCAGGGATGGGCAACTGGCGGCCCGCGTCCTCACTCGAAGTGGCCCTCAGATTAATTTCCAAAAAACTTTCAAAAGCTTCCTCCAATGCACAAAATCATTTCAATTTTGGTAAGGTGATGTCATGGGGTAGGACTGGATAAGTCTAACTTCTTCCTATTCCGTTCAAGCATGTACTAGGTATAGGCAAATTGAAAATATATTTGTGGATATGTCTGGAATTATGTGTGGTTACATACTGACTGTTGTTACATGTTTGAAAGAATAAATAAATCAAAAATCAGAATCTAAGCAGAAACCAATCGACCTGTCACAGGAGGATGTTACCTACAAC